TCACCAGTCAGTTTAATACAGTAATTTGAAGTAAATATTTTTTAACTGAATCTATAACATTATACATATGATGTAAGAACATAGTGCAACAGACAATAGCAGAAATGAACGATAGAGAAATGATTGTCTAGAAAGAATTCAGCAAACGTTAAGTAAAATGTTTGAAGGCTGACATCTGACAACAGCAGTACACCTTTGAAGAATTATACCTTGCAAAAGATTAACTGTTTAGAACAGTCTACTCTCATTGTGTTTTAGTTTCATTATGAATGTAACGTACAAATTTTGTGAGAAGATAATTCAGTAATTTTTGACAATTTTAGTAATTCAGTTGAATTATTAAGACGTTGCCGTATCGTTTACCGCGTTGAAGTCTCCCTGTAACGACGATGCTTTTCGCAACATACAGATCGCTTCTCATTTCAATTCACGTATAGAGAAACGCGACAAGCTTGTCACAAAGTTGTCTTATCGTACACACATTTTACAGTAGTTCGAGTCGACGAGTGGTCAGACGCAGCTTCCATCAAAGGACCACCTACGTATGCAACGCACACGAAGCACCTACGAAAATTAACTAATAAATGTGTAAAATGAACACTGTAATAATTAATCAACGCTACGATCAATATTTTACAAGTTCGGCCATTGTGCACCGAGCGAAAAGTTTTAATTAAATCTTGATCTTTAGATTTATTCCGGTTCGGTTTCACGGTGATTAGCTCCTACTGGCTTTGTTCGTTAAACTGGTCATTTTCTCCAGACTTTATTCCGTATTTTACTGTTACCTGTTCACGTATTTATCAACGTTTCTCATACTTTCGAGTTGCGAACTGGATAAAACTCTAACGATCTCGTTCAAAAAGTAATGCTCGGAAGTTGAAACGCAATTTCAGCGTTACATGCCTATTCCTTGACACGGGGCGCTTAACGACAGCGTTAAATCTACATGTACGAGTGTAATACCGTGATTTGTAAAATACGTGTCATTAAAATGTGAGGTTATGTTAAATGGGCGACAAGCTTGAGGACCTGAGTCGAATCGATTCATGCATGTTATGCAAATAATGATACACATATGATACATAGGATAATGTAATTATATTATGCTACAGGTAATTTAATAGCTATTTCTGAGTTACACGAATGAATCTGAAGTTGAACCTGTGGTTCTGTGCTGTTAAGTGGGCGGTAACCTTCAGGCTAAACGAGTATTTTCATTTTCAAGCTACAATCTGAAGACCATTTTAACAGCAGCTGAATGAAATCACTTCATGAGTACAAATGATACAATAATTATAATATATTATATAATGAATTATGCTAGTGCAGCTAGCATAAGTAGGCAACAACATGAAGGCTAAATAAGCACCTTTAATTTCAAGCTACAATGTGAAGACCATTTTAACAGCAGCTGAATGAAATCACTTCATGTGTACAAATAATACAATAATTAAAATACATTATATAATGAATTATGCTAGTGCAGCTACTATTATAGCTGTTATTTCTAAATTACAAGAAAGGATCTGAAGTAGATCCTGCGGTGCAGTGCTGTTAAGTGGGCGGTAACCTTCAGGCTAAACGAACACCTCCACTTTGAAGCAACAATCGGAAGACCATTTTAACAGCAGCTGAATGAAATCACTTCATGTGTACAAATAATAATATAATAATACATGATGCTTGTACAGGTAGTATAATAGTTATTTCTGAATTAAGTGAAAGATGATCCTGCGGTACAGCGCTGTTAAGTGGGCGGTAACCTTAAACGAACATTTCCAATTTCAAGCGATAGTCTAAGTGAAGTGTATACAAATAATACAATAACAATAATACAGTATATAATGAATTATGCTAATGCAGCTAGTATAAGTAGACAGTAACCTTAAGGCTACATAAGCACCTCCAATTTCAAGCTACAATGTGAAGACCATTTTAACAGCAGCTGAGTCAAATCACTTCATGTGTACAAATAATAAAATAATTAAAATACATTATATAATGAATTATGCTAGTGCAGCTAGTATAAGTAGGCGGTAATCTTAAGATCAAACGAGCATCTCCAATTTTAAAACCACTGTAACAGCAGCTGAATGAAATCACTTCATGTATGCAAATAATAATATAATAATACATGATGCTTGTACAGGTAGTATAATAGTTATTTCTGAATTAAGTGAAAGATGATCCTGCGGTACAGCGCTGTTAAGTGGGCGGTAACCTTAAACGAACATTTCCAATTTCAAGCGATAGTCTAAGTGAAAGAAATGCAAAGGAAGAAAGGGAATATCCGAGGGATTTAGAAGATGAAGATGTGGTATTTTCTTTCGGTACAGATATGCGCAGGCAAATCGTTTTTAATCACAAACGAGGAGAGGTTCGTAAACGAGAAAAATGTCTGCCCCATCTTTCCGGGTCGTGATTAACAACAATACGAACGGTTTTAAACCGTCGCCGCCGTCTTACGAGAATACGGATCGTAAACGAAACATCGGGCATAGGAAACAGAGCGATAAAAGAGTAATAATCGAGTATACGCCTTCGCTGAGTTTTCAAACTGGAAAACTTTTGCGAACGTCTTCTTCGTTGAATAAAAAGGAAATTTTATTGTAATCTGTAGAGATACCTGGATCGGTATAGATACTTGAACGAGTACAGATACTTAACCTCTTCCCGTGCTATTTATTTCACATGCGTCAGTCAAGACTACTCAGAACTGTAACATTAAAACGAGCAAAGAAAATTAAAATGTTCCGAGTATTTTATATTCAAGGATCCTTGATAATGCAACTTATAGTTGGACCTAACTTTCAAAGTTGAGTATTCAAAATTTGAGTCACATTTGTCACAGGTTTGTCACATTTGAGCTGTAAGCGCGTCAGACTCGAAGAACAGGAAGATGGCGGTTTTAAAACCCGAAGATCAGAGAAAGAAAATCCGTGGGTCTATAAGTGCACTGCGGGACACTTGAATCAGATACATTAATCAGGCAAAATGCATGAAACTTGCGTGTTGCTACGTAATACCGTAATAAACTGTCGCTAGATGCTAATAGAAGGTGGATGTCGCGTATTCACACAGCGTGGACGTTCGATCGCAGCTTTTTCATCGTTAGTACACCTACCATTCACGTCGTAATACGGCTGTACGGTTCTGGTAGAATTTCAGGTACCCGTATCAATGCCTTGTACTATTCTGACGAACTGATTAATTTCAATAGGATTTGTTCACGTCGAATACCAAATATTTTAACGTTCTTTGTAATATTGGATTATTGATCTGTAACTTTCTTTAGTAATATTGGATTAATATCGCTCTGTAATATTGTGGCTGTGATTGGTTCCGACGCATCTGGATAATCCTAGGGGTTGAGAAAGCAATATCGCTAAAATTATTAGCAGTAAAAATCAATCACTTAAATATATAATATAATAGCAATGATTTTATCCTCTACTTTTTGACAAAGTTATAATAAATAATAAATTATAATAAATGTATGGTTATGTCACAAATGAAGGTTGTGTCACGAGTTCATTTGGAGCTACTTTAACCCACAATTTTCTGGACAGCGTCAGCTAATTATTGCTTCAGGCAGAAGAATGTTAAAATGTTCTGCATTGCCTCCAGATCCTTGATTATAACATTTGGTATAATTATAATTATAATTAGAACCAAAAATTCAATTGCAGTGAATGAGTCTTGCACCTGTGCAAGAACAGTACCTTAAAACAGAAGTGTATTGAAATGTTATGTCAATTCGGTATCAAACTATTGGATTTGACTATTGAACTTGACTATTGGTCTTGGCTATTGGACTTCTCTATATAACTCCAAACAAAACTGAATGTCAGTAAAATTAATCCCAAAGCAACTCAAATATCGATTGCTAAAATTCAAAACGTCAATTCGCATCCCTTTGCGAAAAGTAAAATGATCTCGTTGCAGTGTCGAATGCCATTTCGGATCAAACGATCGATTTCAAAAGGTTGTAACGCGTTGAACAGGTTGAAATTACCAACAAATACAGTGGTAACGATTACACTGAATTGGAGAATCAGCCAACGTCAGAAAAGTACATCGAAATTAATTGGTTCCTGTGTTCGCCCCTGAGGAAAAATTGTTAACAATGTTGCACGAACAGTGTGGTCCTATTATTTTCTGAGGAATATTTCCGAGAAGCTTGTATCTTTAGGTGGAAGATCGCTGGAGAATTAAACGTGGTCCTCCGAGAAATATGTCGATCTGGTTTTTAATGTTTGCGAAATACGGAGACAATTAGCGACGGAAAACCCTGTTGAAAATAGGGGATATTAACCCTTTGTCTACTCTCATAAATAATTCAGATAAATTATATTATCTTGTAGTAAAAGAAAAATACCAATAAATTTAATTCCCCTTTCTTGATAAAAATTCCGGTCTTGTAGATTCCAGAGGTGGTAAAAGAAACGTTGATAAAAGATTAAATAAAAAATCCATAAATTTGGCTGTCGATCGATCGCGCTCGCGCGTTCTTTTCGGAAGCCTGTTGCTCTCGGAGTCCACGCGTCTCCCTATTTTCCGTTCCATTTTCGCAGCATTTACCTATGATCTTTGAAATAACGCAACTTTTTTCCATCCTCGTCTCCTTATACACGAAGTAGGATATCGAGAAAATATAGCCGGACATAAATACACCGTACACGCATGTACGATGAAAAGACGCGTTTATATCGGCGAAAAGAATGGGCGGTTTCGAAAGACATAAAACGTTAACGTCGTCCGAGAGACAGAATGTTAAAAGTTGACACGCGCGCTCTTTGTGTTCGAGTAAACGCTCCAAGCGATTCGAATGCGACGGTTTCTGCCGATGAAAAGTGCAGTCTTTAATAGAATAACGACAAAAGCGACATGTCGCGAACAAAAAGTTGTTGAAACTTTTTCCTCGTCGTTGCAAAGAATTGTAAAGAAGTTGCAAAAATCGTCGATCAGAAATTTCGACGAGCGTTTAAAATCCTTACCTTTTTTCGTTTTGGTCCGATGTAAAAAAGTGTCCGTTGATTCGATCGGTGGTATTCGAAAGCAGAGGATGATTCAAAGGATGAGACCCGGTCGACGTGACGGACAACGATGAACTGACGCTCCGTGTGCTTCACCTTATACATAGGCCGGCGTAGTGACGTCACGGATCACTGGGACCAATGAGAGAACGGAGCTTGCACCACCGTTGGAAACAGAAATCAAACCGTACCCCTTCCGTCGTAACGTATCTCGCTGGAATTTCCAGCTATTTCGAGTACGTTGTATCCGGATGACCGTCGACACCCCCTTTGCATCTTTACATCTTACCTCCACCGCTTTCATCCCCTCCCTCGCTTATTCTTCCCCTGTTTTCGCTCATTATGATTCTCCCTTTCGATAAAGAAATTCGGGTACAAATCGTGGACTGCAAAATGATAAATTTGTTAACGCTGGAAGAACAACGATCGAATTACTCGGTGCGTATATTCGATGCGCTCGATTAACAAACTCCATATCAAGCTTTAATGAATATTCATGACGGTTTACCATATTCGGAGATGTTATCCAAGTACCTGACATTGAACATGCGAAAATCGAATCGATGGAAACGGCGAAATCAAATTCGACCGCGTAATCGTGTAACTAATCGGAATGTGGGGTTCGATCGTCCTACGTTCTTTATCGAGGAGAGATAACGAGGGTGAGTGAAACGAAAATATTGTTCGATGGATGGATGAAATCGTGCAAACAGATGCTTTCGCCGACGAAATTGAACAGAGGTGTCGCGTTAATGCTCTGCAAATAAAAGCGTTTAACCAGCGTTTAGTTAAAAATCTCTGTCAATACCCCTTCTGCGTGAAAAATTTATCAATCCTCTTCCCGGAATCGTGGAAAAATCAGCTGATTATAAATATTAGGTATTCGAAAGTTCTTCGATGACTCCACAGTTATTATCTGGAAAATGGAAGGGCTTTTTTAAAAAAGGAATTGTCTTTACGCTGGTAAAAAACGTTAGAAAATGATGGGAATTATTTTGTTGATTTTAGATTTCTTTAATAAATAAATGGTTTTAGCCAGCAAATAAAATTTTAATTACTTACTGGAACCCCTAATAGATGCATTAAATCTTCATATAGCAATTTATAATTTATAACAATGTAGAATTTCACCTGAAGTAATATTAATGTACCTTGACGTCACAATTATGTGTGCATGTTCACTGTATGCGAAGAGATGTTCATCCAGATGCGCCACGAATTTCTTCAAGGATTCGATATCCGAATAATCCTTGAATCTAAAAAGAAAAGAAAGAGAAGAAAACTTGCGAAGGGGAAGTAAATGGTATACAATGTACGACATACGTTTGCGGAGCTTGAGGTTCACTATGTGACGGTTCATAAGAGAAGAAACTATCGTTCGTTACACGGTCGATTTACCGTGGTCGTGCGCCGTTACCGACCTCCAGCAAGAAAAATACACCCTTGTGACCACCGTTTGCGCTTTTCACGATTCTCTCCCGCAGCATAATTTCGATTTTCCATCGTTTCGAGCGTATATATCAAATGCGACAATTGTATTTACCGTTGCGTAAAAGAAGTACGAAAGAAACGGGGAAAGAAGCTCGCGTGATATCCGTGTAATGTTACAGTGTTGCAGCGTGAGACACGCGAGAAATTCTCAGAGATTTATGCGAAGAGTTAGTAGGAAAAATTCTGGGAGAAAAACACGGAGTGTCCGAAATCAGGGTCGCGACCTTGAACCGCAAGCACAGCGCGTAGATGACGCTTCACGCTTTCGAGGTTCCGAAATTACAGCATACTGATTGCACTCAGAAATCCGTGGGTTGTTTCTAATTCTGATGGATCCGTATTTCCTACAGTAGCTTATCACCTGTTATCGTCATCGAAACGGAAGTAAACCCATCGATTCTCCAGCGAAGCAGCTATCAACCTGTTTGCGCCTTTGATTTCGCGTCGTTTGTCGCGATCTTCATTTTACGTTGCAAACAATTCTCCTCAACGGAAACCGCTAGAATCAATCAAAGACGAGTGAAACTTTTTTTCTTCCTACGAATCATGTTTTCTTACCTCTCCTCATTGAATCCGAAAGTTCCTTTGTAAGAATTGCACAGCAAGAAAAGCCCCAGCTCGATAAACGTTGCAGTTTGCTTTTCCTTACGCAGCACGAGTAAACAGGCGTGCTTGATGAGACTAGAACACGTACGATCCTTGTAAGTTTATCCTGATAATACAGTCTGGTTCTGCTTTGCTATTTCATACGCATACGAACGATAACTTTCCCTCCTCCGTGAATAATTTACGCCCGACCATAACAAAACGTGATCGAATAAGATTATGCTCGAGTAATACTTAACTGAAGTCTATTAACAAAATTGAATATTACTTTGAACCTACCTTGATGAGTATTTTTATTACGAGACTGTACGAACATTTTCGACTGTATCGATGACAGTAACGGAAGTATTTTGGCGGGATTAGGTTTGATAAAGGTACGAGTATGCGGGTTATCCGATAAGTGAACCTACGGGAGGATGAATTAATGGCGGTCATTTAATGAACAAGCTCAGTAAAACTGATATATTAAGTCAAATATTTATTGAAAGTTCGCAAGCTCAAATTGATGTATTGAGTCAAATATTTATTGAAAGTTCGCAAACTTAAACTGATATATTAAGTCAAATATTTAATGAAAGTTCGCAAACTTTTATTAAACTGTTACCTGGAAGTGAACACTTTTTAGTAAACACTACTAAAATAATTAAATAAAAAGTTTTGACTGATATCCTCTCTCAGTAGTGGACACGTGACAGTTGTAATCTCAAGTACCAACTACGCAGTATATTTCGATTGTCTATAAGACATTGATTGAGGTTATAATGAAGTGAATCCACATCCTCTGATCAAATTTATCGAAGTTAAATTTCCAGGATCGCTCATCTTGACTTTGCAACTTCTTTGTCCGTGTTTTTCTTTTGCACCACTCAACCAATTCTCATCAAATTTTACACGCACATGCGTATGTACATGCAGATGAACATAGAAAAAAGAATTTTAAATCGGACTTGCCATGGAGGAATAATCACTGAAAAAACTGATCCTCATAGATTTCAATGTAAAAATTGAATTTCCTCACGTTACAAATAGTCCAAAACATGGACTAAAAAATTGGCGTCCATCTAGCCGCGAAACGGGTGAACTAAACGTACAGAATGAGGATCCGAACAAGTATATAAGGAAAATAAAATAGTGAATATTTCGGCACTTTGACGACGTAGTATGGTACCTGAGGCATTTAGAAACAAATTTCTATTAGGGTTTGATGCGTTTTGATGCCTAATAAAGCCAGGAAATCAATTTTTGTCGAATTCGGTCCAAAACGGTACAGGTGGCGCCATCTAGCGGCGAGCGGCGGAACTACGAAAAACTAAAATTTTGATTTTCTCGAAAACTAGGAACTTTTCCGAAATTCTGAGATATACAAATTGTTCCTTGTCTCCTACGGAATCGAACGAATCTAATTAGAGCCTGCTAGGACCATTATTAAAGAAAATAGAAAAATAGCCCATTTCATGGACTAAAAAATTGGCGTCCATCTAGCCGCGAAACGGGTGAACTAAACGTACAGAATGAGGATCCGAACAAGTATATAAGGAAAATAAAATAGTGAATATTTCGGCACTTTGACGACGTAGTATGGTACCTGAGGCATTTAGAAACAAATTTCTATTAGGGTTTGATGCGTTTTGATGCCTAATAAAGCCAGGAAATCAATTTTTGTCGAATTCGGTCCAAAACGGTACAGGTGGCGCCATCTAGCGGCGAGCGGCGGAACTACGAAAAACTAAAATTTTGATTTTCTCGAAAACTAGGAACTTTTCCGAAATTCTGAGATATACAAATTGTTCCTTGTCTCCTACGGAATCGAACGAATCTAATTAGAGCCTGCTAGGACCATTATTAAAGAAAATAGAAAAATAGCCCATTTCATGGACTAAAAAATTGGCGTCCATCTAGCCGCGAAACGGGTGAACTAAACGTACAGAATGAGGATCCGAACAAGTATATAAGGAAAATATTTTACTGCGTGTTCGGACATTCATTTTTTCACTTTAATTCGCAGTTTTGCCGCTAGATGGCGCCACAAATTTTCTCCATAAAATGTCCACGCGTTAAGGGAAAATATAAAAAGTAATATTTCGCAACTTTGACAACGCAGTATGCTTCTTTAAACATTTTACAGCAATTTTTGTTGAATAAGTTATTCATTTTTTTGCCTATTAAGCCCAGAAAATCAATTTCTATTTGACCCTTTTACTGCGTGTTCGGACATTCATTTTTTCACTTTAATTCGCAGTTTTGCCGCTAGATGGCGCCACAAATTTTCTCCATAAAATGACATTTTTTTTATTTTCTTTAATAATGGTCTCAGCAGGCTATAATTAGACTCGTTCGATTCCGTAGGCGACAAGGAACAATTTGTATATCTCAGAATTTCGGAAAAGT